CATTATTACAGCACAACTAAACTTTGTCCTGCTTTCCAAGAAAGGCTGCTCTCGGCACACGAATTTTCATTTCATTCATGGCAGTTCAGGATTAATCACTAAGGATAAAACAGGAGTTGCTGCAGAAGGGCTGATGCGATCAGTTTGTTGTAAAGAACTTTAGGAGAAGAATTGCCTAACAGAAAAAGTTGGACACTTAAAATTACCAGAGAAGGTTGCAGTTTCCTTCATCGCAGAANTTGGACATTTAAAATTACCAGAGAAGGTTGCAGTTTCCTTCATCGCAGAATCAAAAATNGACACTTAAAATTACCAGAGAAGGTTGCAGTTTCCTTCATCGCAGAATCAAAAATCTGAATTAAGATGAGGAACTGTTTATCTTGAATACTTTAGGCATGATACCTACTGGGATCTGATGCTCTTAACTTTGGTAATCCCCTTACCATCTTATAGTCCTGCTTTGGGTAATGTTAGATGCAGTGCAATTAATGGGGGACATTTTCCCCCTAATTTGTTGATATTATCCTACTATCTTCTAAGAAGGAAGTCATTCTCATTTTTCCTGTTTTGGTGATTTGCTAGTCAGTGACTATTTTGTCGGCAAAATGCCTCCATTTCTGACTTAAACTATGTTACTTTTGTCTGTGACTGATTCACACACACACAAATGTGTTCATTACAGAAGAAATCTGTAAGCATATAGTACTTAATTTGTCAGCGCTAAGAATTGTGATGCTAGCATTTACTGAGCTTTGGCTTTGTAACAGACACTGCTGAATTCTTTACTTGAGTTGTCTCACTAATTCACATCATTCTGTCCCTACTGAGCAGATGTGAGGCTGAAGCTCAGAGAGCCCAGAAACGGGTCCACAGCCACACAGATAAGAAAGGATGCCGCTGGCATTCAGTCTAGGTCTGTCTGACTCCAGAGCTGAGGCTCTGAATCACTGCTGTTACATTAGTGGTTTCCAACTGGGAATTTGCAGATTTGCAGTTCTCTGTAATTCACTTCTGCGGAAACTTTTCTCATTTCTCAAGCTCTAACAATGTTTGAGGAAACATAAAATATCTTTAGAGCACTGCTTATCAAACCTGGCTACATTCTAGAGTCACTTGGGAGTTCAGAAAAGCAAAACAAGAACTGGTAGCTGTGTCCCACCCTCATGTTCGGAGTTAATTTGTATAGAGTATGGCCTGGACATTGGGATCTTAAAAGTCTCCCAGGTGATTCTAATGTGCAGCGGAGTTTGAGAACTCCGGCTTTGGAACAAAGCAAAATTTTAAATTCTAAATTTCTATTCTTCTGTTAGTAAAAAAATAATGTTTTTATTATAGAAGTACTACGTATTTATTTAGAAATTACAGAAAAACTGATAACAAATTACAATTAAAATGATTTGTAATTCCTACCCTGAACAATAAGCAGCATAGGATTTGACTATGTACTTTTCTCTTCTGTACGTGTTCGTGTATTTAAAGCCTTAACTGTGATATTCCTCTTCTATGGAATTTTGTACATTTAATGCCATGTTGCCTTATATCTGTCTTATATAGTAACATGCTTCATCGGACTGAAAAATTCTTGATTCTTATGCACATGTAGTAGTATTGTTGATTAACCCTTATAGGCCAGTAACTCTCAGAGTAATATCTCTATTAATGGAGAATTTGTATGTTAATTTGCAGTAGCATTTAGGAGACGAACCGATTAGATGTTTCTCCTTTGTATTCTGACTTGTACAGCACTGTTTCAGACGAGTAAACCTTGGTTTGCTTCCTTCTAGATTATTAAGGCAAAGCCATGTGGTTCGAACCCCCTGGGCTCCGGCCTGTGGTACACGCTCAGTAAATGCGGGGGGCATGAGCAGGCGGACTGATGTGCTCTGGGATCTGAGGTGGGAGTGGTGGTTATAGCCTGAAAAAAACTAATTACTGAAGTAAATTCAGATGTGCCAGAAAAAAATTACTTGGGAATGGTGGAACAGTAGGAAGAGAGAATAAGAGTGGGGTTGAGATGAGGACAGGGGCTGAGGGGCACTTTAGGATAGGTATGCTGAAGATTCTTCAAGATGTGTAAAGAGCCCTCTTATTCCAGAAATATCTTGTGTGGGCCCCCGACAGGCTCTGTCAGTCTTCCCTTGGAATAACCCCCTCCCCACATCTCCTCTGTCCTTCCATCTCTTCGTCTTACTCATTTGTCAGAATAAAAAGGCTGAGTCAGATATACTTTCAGAGTAAGAACCAAACATTTTTCAGAGTTTACTGCTCCCCAGATATTTTCCTAAGAAAGATTTGGATGAAAAACCACTGTACTGTAATGGAGTTCAGTTAGGATATAACCAGTGCCTGTCGGTTAACAACCGTTATTCCCTTTCGTCCCAAGGTTGGAGATGGGGAAGAATTTAAATAAGAGATGGGGAGGGGACTCAGAGTATTGAAGGCTAATGAGGGGTTACCTTTGAGGGGAGAGGGCCCGTCTGGGAGATGCTACAGGTTTTCCGGCAGCCTTGTCTTCAGTTAGGCCCAGGCAACTCTGGGCTGCTCACTGAGGTATTTTTGGTGGTGCAGCCGCAAAAGCCAGACACCTCTGCCTCGCATAATTTATGAAGGATTTCCTGTTTCATGCCCATTTCTTTTAGTGTAACTTCATAATCAGTAGATTCCTTAAATCAAAATTATTTATAATTTCTTTTGGCCTTAAAAACGTAATTATTATTTTTAAATGTGTTATAATCTTTACTTGCTTATGATTGTCCATTTTATACAAGTTTTTATTAAAAAGGAGAGATTGCTGATGTTTTAGGTCATCAGTGTATCAGATACACTCACGATTTATGATGCTGAAATCTTTAGAATTGAGCATTATGTAGTTCCAAAAATGAGAAGGAAAATGAGAAGCTATCTCTCTATTGTAGCTCCCCTTTTATTGAATTCATGATGATTTTTTAAGAATATAAAGGCATTAAAGATAGTTTAAACCTCAGGCATCCTGCTTTATTTACAATTAAAGAAAAACAAAATTAAAGAATAAAATAGCAAACCTGGTTTATTTATCTGAATAATACTTATCTCACTGTAACATCATAATTAAGGACAGGGAATCTTTATAGTTACATTATGTAGTATAGCTAAATAAATAAATACAATGCTAGAGGTGATGTTTGTTCAGGTAAATATCAGCTGTATTCAGTCCAGTGAAACTTTAAGATTTCGAGAGTGCGGTGCCAGTCTTCAGAGCCAGGAGCGCATTATGATTTAATGGTATTGTTTGCTGCTTTTGATGAGCTGGCCCAGAAAAACATTTGAAGCAATAAAGCATCCATTTGGCTTCTAAGTAATGAGGGAGGCATTGCTCTTTGCATTAACTATTTATTCTAGAAGAGAAGTGACCAACTGCTAATAAGCTTTATCCAAAGAGGTAGTGGAAAACAGAAGAAAATGCAAAGGGGAGGTTCTGTTCAATTTCATATGCAATTACCCAATACCCAAAGCGCCTCTTCCATGTGACTCTGGCCAGCTGTATAAGTAGGAGTGCCTCTCAGATGTATTCAAGGCCTCGTGGCTTAAGGAAGGATTGTGTAGCCTAAACTAATGGCATATGAGAAGAGGCAATGACTGGTGAGTAGCTAAGACTGGGCTGATCTCTGTAGTTTTAAATAATGGACTTATTTTCTAAGATGAACAGTAGTTATTGAGGATTGCTAGTTTACTCCATTTGGGAAGGGTTCCTTTTTTAAAAAATGATTATTGCTTTTTCATGACTTGGGAAATCTGCTCTGTAATGCAGTTATGTAGATTATCACTTGATCAAATGGCTTTTAACCTGAGAAAACTTATGTGCTATATAAATAAATATATAATTTATTATTTGGAAATAGTGTCTGGGTGGGAATGTAACATTTTGCTCTTCTTCCACAAGTAAATAAGTGGTCCCTTAATTGCAGTAAATGCTTAGGATTTAGCAACTTTAAGATTGCAACCAGAATATTGTATTCACACATAAATAGGGGCTCTTTCAAGTCATTTCAGAATTCTGCTTTGAATCGCTTTTGGTGCTATAACAGCATGAAGTTTTCATTTTACTTGCTTTAAGATTCTTAATATAATTAATTTGCCTTCTTTAGTGACATGAAAAAAAGATGAAAGTCACAATTATTTTTTTCCCCTTAAAACCAGCTAAACAATTTTCATGCTAATTCTTCTCCACTGTTCTCACCAAAAAGTAGCACAGTGGAGTTCTACACAATGGGGAAAATCCTTCATATAAATCATATTAAAATAGGCAGTGGAAATATGGAAACCCAACATTATTTAATAATAGAATGTACTTGATACTATTGTAAGCCAATTATAAAACCACTTCATAGTGCATTACTTGGATATTCAATTTAAAAAATTCCACATTGATAGCTATGCTTTAATTCTAAGCTTACCATGAATTATTTTGAAGTATATTTAAAATCAATTTTCAACATACATTTTATGGCCCAGCCAGTGTGGCTCAATGGTTAAGTGTTGACCCATGAACCAGGAGGTCACTGTTTGATTTCTGGTCAGGGCACCTGCCTGGGTTATGGGCTCGATCCCTGGTAGGAGGCATGCAGGAGGCAGCTGATAGATGACTCTCTCTCATTGATGTCTCTCTCTCTCCCTCTCCCTTCCTCTCTCTGAAATTAATTTTTTAAAAAACACACGTTAAAGATACATTTTATGAAAAAATACTACATTGTTTGTTTGGGTTCATAACCTTTGTTAAGGGGCTAAAAAGCCTGGTAAATACCTAGTGAGATCAAAGTCAAGAAAAGGATCCTTAGAAGTTTTCTTTCCTAGACCACATTGCATCATACTCAGAGAACTAAACTCACTTTACAGAGACTTGCCTTCATCAAGGAAATACGGACTCAGAGATTAGAATTGAAAATACCTTGTAAGATGTTAGGTTTTGCAATAATCTCTCTTGTTGGTTATTAACAATTATTAGATTGAATTATCCCTTTCAGATAATCACTCCATTCAGACGACTAATGCTGTGCGCTGAGAACAGAAAAGAGATGGAGGATTGGATCAGCTCACTGAAGTCTGTACAGACCAGAGAACCTTATGAGGTAAAGTAGCAGCTCTTCTGCCTTCTCGTGTTCTTAGAGAATGTTAACCGAAGAGCTAATGCTGTATTCTGCAAAATATTAGTACGTGTAGATTCATTCAGCAACTTGTTTAAACCTGATATTGCATTATTTTTACTTAAAGCAAAGTGTTTTCATTTTTAAAATACGGATTTGGAATTTAAATCATAACTATATACATTCCAAATGTTAAGTGTCTGTAGTCTTGTTCTCTTGTTTGGCAAATCTGTGCTAATGTCTCGTTTGTAGGTGGCCCAGTTTAATGTGGAACATTTCTCAGGGATGCATAACTGGTACGCCTGCTCCCACGCCCGACCCACTTTCTGTAACGTGTGCCGAGAGAGTCTTTCTGGAGTCACCTCCCATGGCCTGTCCTGCGAAGGTACAGTAGCACCCAACACGGGCTGTCCCTCAGCACTGACCGCACTGCCCCGCCCTTGGTGCTTTTGAGAAGGAAACTGAGAAAAACCCCCAGAGGAAAACATTTCCCTTGGGTGGAAGCAGTAGCTGGGAGCAACTCAGCGGGGACAGAGCGTAGAAGTTTTATGGTGGGTTGCAGCGGAGCTGTGCACACAGAGGACTGCCTTGGGAAATGTTTTGGCTCAGGAAAACATAATAGAAAATCATTTGAAAGGAAGTATAAATCAAAGTGTCGCGTTTCACTGTGGAGGAACTAGCAACTGCTGATTAAAAAAGAATTCTTTAGACTTTGTGTGTCATCCCAGGTTTCTGGTATTTTTTTTCTGTTCTGATTGATTGTGGAGAATAAAACTTGCTGTGAGGACAGTATGTAGTCTTTGGCCGAATTTCTGATTGCCACTTATTGCGTTATTTCAAACGCTGTTTCTTTTATTTCGTTTATGTTTAATTTAAATTGATGCCATCCTTTTAATTTCCTTAAAATTTTCTAAAAATAAGGCTTATGTTGTTACTTTCATTACAGGATTTGTGGATTATTTTTAAATTTAAGAGCAGTCACCACTTAAAAGGAAATGCATTAATAATTACCTAGAGAAAACTCATAACTCCTTTAGATTTATTTCATTTTATGCCTCAGTGATCATATCATTGTGTGCTATTTTTTGAACTGTCTGTAATACTATTACTAGCTTTTTCTTTAAGACAAAAAATTCTTTAGTAATTTTGAATATAATTTTATTGTAATTAAATAATGAAATAAAAATAGTCACAGTTTTCATTTGTTTTAAATAAGATTTGAAATATGTCATTAGTTCAGCTATTTAATATGATGCAGCATAGTGGCTGAGAACAGAGCACTGCCCTTAGACCCTCGGGGTTCCAGTTTCACTTCCAGCATTTCAAACTGTGGCCACGGGAGATAGTTCAACTCTTCCAGACTTTTATATCCTCATCTGTAAAATGGAGATAATAGTCATCTATATCCCATAAAACACTATGGAAATTAAATGAGAGGATATATGCAATAAAACTACTTTTCCAGTCAAGTAAGTAATAGAAATTTTAACTGTGCTTCATATGAAATTTATCAAGTAAAAAATTACAAATTGCATCATGACCTGATGCATTAAAATTCACAAAAATGAACATTTGGAGGAGGCATTAAACATTTTTTTTAGTTTTAAAGAATGACTGCAAAGATATAATTGGCCTTTATGACTTTAATAATCTAAAAGGATTCCTGTAGCTCTGAGTAACTCCTGCCAGGTCGGCAATATTACATGGCGTTATTTTGAAGGTTTTTAAAACTATTACCTTCTAGTCTTTCATCCAAAAAGTGCTGAAAATGATATCAGCTCTGAGATACTCTGTGGTATCCTTCCGATGTGAGAGTTAGATATTATTGATTATATTTGTTTAGAAATTGAGATTGATAGTGGGATGACTATTTTTTTTAAGCATTTAAAGAAAAATGAAAATTACATCAGCTTAAAGTCATTAAATAAATTTGTTATTATATTATCCTGTTAATAATGAAGTCTTCCTAACTTTTTAAAAAATATATTTTTATTGATTTCAGAGAGAGGAAGGGAGAGGGAGAGAGAGATAGAACATCAGTGATGAGAGAGAGTCACTGATTGGCTGCCTCCTGCA